ATGAGAAATGAGTTGGTGACCTTGGTTGTAAGTGCCACGGTTTAAGTGGTCAATGTTTCGTAGGTTTAAGTGTATCGCACCTCTATGTTTATAGAACATTTGTCCAGTGTCATTATAAGTGTTCACACTTATATAATTACGCGTAAAAATTGCACGCACTTCTACATATGCTCGTGGTGCTATGTTGAAGCTTGCATAAATGAACAAGCAAATGTTAAATGTTTCAAGGTTTCATTGCAGAAGATAAGAAGCATTGAACTGCTTTCGGTGTATAACTGTAAGAAAATAAGTTTTGACACATGGTGCATGCTCTTTGCTAGATAGTTTTCACATGAATGTTGCATTTACATAAGACTTAAAATTTGCTTGTGCCAATCTGTTTGTGTATAGTCGCGCAGTAATGTGCAATATGCACCTTTAAAGTACTTGTTACCGCGCAAAAGCAATTATAGTTCGTTTTTTCTTAAGTTGCCCAAGGAGTTTGCCCCTCCCTGTAAACGTCTTTTTGAACACAGCACGAGAATTGCTAGCTGAATTACTGAGAAAACTGGTTAGCGCACATTGTATTGTAGATATGAATCATATTTTCAAAATAAGTTTTGAACACCGACGATTTACCGTTATGTTAAGCGCCGTGCAATTTATTTATCAGTTCAGACATAATTCCTGAGAAGTTGTCTATCCCTGTGGGGCTGTAGGTATTGGCAAATACGAGCTACGAGTCTGTGAAATAGTAAATAAATTTAATGAAATTGATCGTCTGTGAAATCTGGTCAAATCAATGTGCGCCAACCAGTTTTCTCAGTAATTCAGCTAGCAATTCTCGTGCTGTGTTCAAAAAGACGTTAACCTTGAGGGGCAAACTTAACCCGCGCCCCGCTGGGCTATTCAGCCATACGCGCCCTGCTGGGGGGGGGGGGGGCAGATTCTGCCCCCCCTGTCTAACTTCCGAACCGATGGTCGTAGAAAGACGGGGAAAACGGCAATCGAAAGCTCTCAACAAGGCGGATCTTAAGAGCCCAAATTTTTTTGCTTAAGTAGGTCAGAGGTCAGGTCAAGGTCAGGTCAAGGGTACAAAATGCAAGTTTCTACAGTATCGGCCTTGCACCGTAGTTGCCGAAGAATGGACGGAGACTGATTGCCCAAAACGTGTCCTTAGACTACCAAGACAATATTCGTTGCATACAATGTCATTCAAAGGTCAAGGTCAAGGTCAGGTCAGGTCAGGTCAGGTCACCAAAAACAAAATATAGAAAAGGGCATGTGCGACACATGTTTTATGGGTCATTTTACTCATAGAATTCAATAGGCACACTCAATAAGTGATACGGACCACCTCTGGATGAATTTCAGGTCGAGGTCAGGTCAAGGTCAGGTCAAGTGAGGTCAAATTTTGAAGTTGGTTGTTAAGGCCTAAAAAGGTGTCTATCTGATTCAGTTTTTCACGGCGAATCGAATGGTGCTATTTTTGTTTCCGTACGAGGTCTAGAACTTCCAAAAAAATCATTTTTCAAAATTTTTGTGTGTCGTGACGTCATAAAATTTTGAATAACTCCCACATTTTTGAACCGATTCTTCTAAAAATTGGTATGTAGGTGCACATAGACCACTTCTCTGACATATATTCCGGTTTTTTCGATACACTCAAAATTTTGGATTTTATAATTATTTTCCCAAAAAAGTCAGTTTTTTGAAAAAATTGGGCCAAAATCCAAAATTTTCAAAAAACCGAGATAGCCATTTGATAGAGAAAGTAGAATCACGTATAACCTTTTTTGTTATGTCTTGATTCCTTAAAAAATGAAGATGTTAGCGGCGTTTGAAATTTTGCCGTTTTTGAGGCGAAAATGGCGAACATGACGTCACTAAAACGTCAATTTCTCAAAAAAAATTCCGACGGATTTCGCTCAAATTTTCAGGGAACGTGTCAAATTGATGTATGATAAGGTACTGTAAGTTTGACGTCGCTGGCGTAACGCGTTTAGATGTTATTGGCGAAAAACGGGAGGGGGGGGGGCAGATTCTGCCCCCCCCCCCCCCCAGCGGGGCGCGGGTTAAAGGTAGTGTGCCACCTTCCAATGATTTCCCATTTTATTTTTCCTAGGATAAGAAGCTTCTGTTTTTACCTAATATCGCAAAAAAAAAAATCAAAAATGGGCCTGGAATAGTGCCTTTTTCGCCTAAAAGTTTAACGGTTTTTCGATATGTATAACAACTGTAGTGGGCTGACCTGCAAACAGGCGTCGGCAACAATCGCGAATGCGGCGCACATGTGACAATAAGCAAAGGTCATTATAGAGGTACGACGTACGGGAATGAGTTATCAGCTGTCTAATCGTAGACAACACAATGTCGAACTTAAACTGTAAGCCTGTATTGGTATTATTAATTTATGGTTTGAAATATGATTTTATGTAAAATAATTGATGTGAAACAGCTGTCTCTTAAGTTATGACCCCATTTCACCACACGCAAGTGGCAGAAATGACAATGATCAGCTGACGCATTTTTCTTGAGAGCGCGCGGCCCGACGCACCAGTATTTGGAAATTCCGACCTCGACGAGCATCAGAAGCCACCTAACAGGCGTGTTCGAAACCGCAGGAGATGATGATGAACGGGTTTATCGAAAGTTGATTGGATGAGCCTATCGGTAATAGCGATTTTAGTGTGTGCAATTATTGTTCATAGTGGTGTGAAATGTGGTTGGGGTACGATAACCCGTCGGGGCGAATTTCGTACTGGGGTACTCAAAATTTGAAGAATTTAAGACGTTTCCATGAGTTTTGAAGGTATGGATAAGTTCTAAAAATCCGGTTCTCCTTATAGCCGGGTCATTAACTCCATATGGTCCAAGAAAGCTGGCACACTACCTTTAAGAAAAACGAACTATAGTGTGCTGCATTCCTGATTCTGAGGCAGTAGGAACTGATAGCTGTTTTGCTAGTTACATGTCGGTATTGAAAGATATTATAGCATTGGATATGTGAAGTACTGCATCTTCGTGGATATTGGTGGATATATGACGTTTTGAAGTTAGAAATCTTAGTCCAAACTGTTGAGCATGTTTTCATCTAACACTGCAATGCGGGAAGAACTGTTGAACCTTTTTAATGTGTTCGCCCAGATTTTTAGCATGCGTTCCATCGTCCGGCTTTTTGCAAATATGGCGAGAGCAGGCAGTTTTGACATTCGAGAAGCTTTGGCAGGAAAAAAAAACTTAGTTTTGAGCTGACCCAGGAATGTCGTTGTGCTTGGTTGCGACAAGTTCTGGAGGCAATTTTTAAACGATACATGTCGCTTTTTGCAAAGTCACCAACTACAGCCGGTATATAGCCGTTATATACCGGCTATATACCGGCACGTATATAGCCGGTGTATATTGTGTCATGTATTGTGTACATAGCCGGTATAGGGGCAAGTACTTACGAATAGCCGCCCAAAAATAAACGCAGAAACGAAGACCCGGCGGCTCGTGGGTGAACTAAATCAATACCAATCTCAGGATTTTTGGCAATCTATCTCGGTTCAATTTCGAGCGCTAAAACCACATCATAATTCGTCCACAAATGTTGCCGGGCTGCCGACCAGACAGCATGAAATGGGTGCCACCGCTGCGACGGCCGCCCTCAGAGGGACGTATGGGACGGGCAGGGGACGATTGCGGGGGGGGGGATGAGTTGCCGTGGCCAGTTTTAACGACCAAAGGTTGTACTGCTGCCAATGGCTTCTCGTCTGTCACTCTGCTCCACATTGCAGACATCTGCAAATCAAATCGTAATGTGAGCTCCGCCCATTTCTATGTCTGCAAGACTTCAGCTCTTCGTTGAACGATCTATGAAGCATCCCTATGTTGATTTTTGCTGTTTGATACTGACCATATATTTGAGTCTGACGCTGACCGGCAGTCTGTATGGTCTGGCCGACCAGTCTGTATAGTCTGAGCGAGTCCCGGCAGTCTGTGTAACCTGAGCGGGGCCCGGCGCGGTGCCGGCAGTCTGAGCGATTCTCCGTGATGGCAGCACGCTGCGATGGATGCCGGCCCGGCCCGGAGCTGACGGCCGCTGCACACCAGCACCGCCCGTTTATCGCCGCACCCATCCATCATCGCCGCACCGCGCCGCATCATGCCGCGCCGCGCCGCATCCGCCGAGCCGCCCGTCCAGCCCCAGCAGCTGATTGAATCCATCGGCGGTCTGTCTGGCGGCCGAAAGGCACCGGAACTTCGTGATGATTCTGAAATCCTGGGAGCCGCAGGAGCGCCAACAGTCACCAAACTTTCGCAGTTCAGAGTGCTGCTAGATGCTGGCACCAACACGGACTGAAGTAAACTTGCTATGTAAGACACCAGCAAGCGGACAGCGGCCTAGCCTGAAGAGTTATCGAAACACTTAGCACGTCATGTTGTTTGTTTTGTCTTCAAAATATTGCCCTTGTGAATAGCAATTTCGCTAGTCATCATCGCTGAGCCAATTTCAAACGATTATCTCTGAAGTTATGGCCTAAATTTACTAAGTACTTATCCAACCCGGATAGATTTGGCTGATGAATATTCGCCTGACGTGGCCGAATGGGACGCTAGAGATCGGCGTGTGAAATCAGGAGAGATGGATCGCATACATCCACCGAACATGGGACGTTTTATCTTGATTGCTTCCATAATTCACAACAATCGCTCCTATGATGTCATAAATCAGTGCCAGCAGAATGCCCGAATGGGGTGGCCAGTGCCCGGACGGGTAAAGGCAAGTAACCCCGAACGGAGCACTCACCAGTCACCAGGAAAGCAGTTATGGCTGCTTCCTGCAGGACGGAATCAACAAAACGGATAACTTGCTTCCGACAAAAATCCTGCGGGTCCCAGTCTAATGGCATCTAATGGCTGTCAATGGCTCTCATCTAGGAGTGCAAGTACCTTTCCAAAGCCTTTATAGACAATTAGCGTTTTTAATCAATTCAATTCAAAGTGGGTATTCAAGTATTTGAGTAGGGCATTGTTATGTAATGGGCCGTGTGCACACCTGTGCAGACCCCTGCCTGGGCATTGGCGGTGGCCGATATGTGAGTTGCCTGCTACTGTGTGTGTGATACCTGGGTCGGCCCCTGCCGAGGTCAGGGACTGCCTGAGGGGGGACGACCCTCCTGTCGTCCCCACCACCGTGCTACAATACAGTCAGTCGGAACCGAGCGGTGGTGTGTCGATGGTGGGCCGCGAGACATAACATTGGCGACGAGCGGAGTGAGGACGGAGCCATGCCGTTGGGGAAGATTGAAGAATTTCACCAAGGACAAGATAACTGGGAAGAGTATGCGGAAAGGTTGGATCAATTCTTCGTGGCTAATGACATCCAGGACGATGCTAAGAAGAGGGCCATTCTTCTCAGCAGCATGGGAGCTCGGACATACGGTACGGTAAGATCGCTGTTGTCACCGAAGAAGCCAAATGAGGTGACTTATGTCATGATTGTTGAAACATTGAGCAAACAATTTTGTCCGCCCACGTCGGTAACTGTCGCAAGATATCGGTTCTTTTCCTGTTGTCGAGTACAGTCAGAGTCTGTTCAGGAGTTTGTGGCGCGCCTGCGACAGCTGTCACGGGACTGCAAATTCGAATCGTTTCTTGATCAAATGATCAGAGACCGGCTGGTGTGTGGAGTTAACTCCGACCCCATTCAGCGCAGGTTGCTGGCAGAAGCTGAGCTGACTTTGCCGCAGGCAATCAAGATTGCTGTGGCAACGGAAACAGCAGGTCAAAACCTACAGGAGCTGGCGGGAGCTGGCCAGCCGGTGGTGTCCGCTACGGGGGAGACGGCAGTGAACCGTGTCCGGACGGGCCCGTCAGCCTCACAGCGGACCAGCCAGGAGCGACACAACGCCAGTAAGCAAGCGCGACATGAAGGTGAGAGATGCTGGCGCTGTTTGAACAGAACGCACTCTGAATCAGAATGCTACTTTAAACGTAAGCGCTGCTTCCAGTGTTCCAAGTACGGGCATACATCGGCCGCTCACCGGGCAGGGACGGTGAAACATGTTGGGTCGGAGGTGGTCCGTCAGGAGGAGGGCGATGGTGCAGGATCTGGGGAAGAGCAGAGTGTGATGGAGGCAGACACTGAAGAAATTGACTTTATCGGGGAGGTTTTTCAGTGTCGGGAGCGGATTCATGTGGTGAAAAGCCGGCCTCCGATCATGCTGGACATGTCGCTGGATGGGCGCGATGTCAGGATGGAGCTTGACACGGGTGCATCGGTATCAGTCTGTTCGTTCAGCAGGTTTCAAGAGCTCTGGCCGGAGAAGAAACGCCGTCTGCAGCCGTGCAGCCTCATCCTACACACCTTCTCAGGCGAGCCTTTGAAGGTCCGAGGTGAGGTACAGATGGACGTGGTGTACCGCGGAGAGTCGTTCAGCCTGCCCCTGGTAGTAGTTGATGGGACGGGGCCGTTGCTCTTCGGCAGGAACTGGTTGGAGAGCATCAGACTGGACTGGAGAACCATCTGCATGGTGACGACACAGACGCTGGGAAGCGGAGTTGAGTCGGTGCTGCATAAGTACTCTGATGTGTTTGCGGATGAGTTGGGATGTGCGAAGGGGATTGTGGTAGATATCCCGATTGACCCAGACACACGCCCCATCTTCTACAAGCCCAGACCGGTACCGCTGGCGTACCGTGCTGCTGTCGACGCCGAGCTGGACCGTCAGATCCAGGCCGGGCTGCTGGAACCGGTGAAACACTGCACGTGGGCTGCACCGATCGTCACTGCACTGAAGGCGTCAGGTGAGGTCCGTCTCTGTGGTGATTATCGGTTAACGGTCAACAAAGTAACGCCGCTAGAGAGGTACCCGATGCCCAAGACTGAGGAGCTATTCACGCTGTTTCAAGGTGCCAGAATTTTCACGAAACTAGATCTGAAAAGCGCATATAATCAGATTCAGTTAGATAAAAACAGCAGAAAGTACATGGCTATCAATACGCACAAGGGAATATTGGTACCGACTAGGCTGGGTTTTGGATATGCCTCAGCCCCGGCGATTTTCCAGAGATACATGGAATCGCTGCTCGCTGGAATCCCAGGAGTTGGTGTGCTGATCGATGACGTCATTGTCTCAGCAGGATCCGAACAGGAACATCTGCAGCGGCTGGAGGAGGTTCTGAGACGTCTGTCGGAGGCAGGACTGCGACTGCAGCGGAAGAAGTGTCAGTTCGCGGCATCAGAAGTGGTGTATCTTGGACACCACATCACGGCAGATGGTATCAAACCAACAGCAGACAAGGTCAGTGCCATTGAAAAAGCCCCAGAGCCCAAAAACTTGAAAGAGCTTCAGGCATGGCTCGGCCTGGTCAACTATTACGCGAAGTTTCTGAAAAACCTCGCCACAGAACTGGCACCGCTGTATCAGCTGCTGAAAAAGGAGCAGAAGTGGGAATGGGGCCCAGCTCAGAGGAAGGCGTTCCAGAGTACGAAAGGTATGCTGAAATCAACCCTGACTTTAGCGCACTTTGACGAGACAGCTCCAGTCATTTTGGCTTGTGATGCCAGCCCGGTGGGGGTAGGATGTGTCCTAAGTATCATGGACAGGAACCATGTTGAGAGGCCAGTTGCGTTCTACTCGCGGTCTCTGTCGGAGACCGAGAGACGGTATTCCCAGACCGACCGCGAGGGCCTGGCAGTGATTGCTGGCCTGGCCAGGTTCAATTTTTACTTGGCAGGTCGTGAATTCTTGATCCGGACAGATCATAAGCCGCTGCTAGGTATGCTTGGAGGAAAGAAGCCGGTATCACTGATGGCCTCTCCCCGGGTGACACGATGGGCTATGCTGCTCTCGGGGTACAAGTATAAGATGGAATATGTACCGGGTATCAAGCAGGGACACTGTGATGGATTGAGCCGACTTCCTGTGTCTGCAGGATCGTCCCAGCTGCCCGTTCCAGCTGAGACGGTGCACCTGATGCAGTTCTTCGATTCGTCACCGGTCACCGCTGAGTCCATCCGTCTGTTCACCGCCAGGGATCCTGTGCTGAGTGCCGTTCTGCGCTTCACCAGAGAGGGCTGGCCGTCGGGCGACCTCGTGATGCCAGAGCTGGTACAGTACCGAAGCAAGGAAGGTGAGCTGAGCATTCAGGATGGATGTTTGCTGTGGGGGTCACGGGTGGTGGTACCCCCCAAGATTCGGCCTAGAATTCTGTCTATGCTGCATGAGGGACATCTGGGAGAGAGTCACACGAAAAGTTTCCCTCGTATGTATGTCTGGTGGCCTGGTATAGACAGAGAAGTCTCTGAACTGGTGCGTCACTGCCCGACATGTCAGCAGTATCGCCGACAGGCACCCGTGACGCCACTCAGTCCGTGGGCTTGGCCGAAAAATCCCTGGGACCGAGTGCATATTGACCACTGCCAGTTCGATGGCCACTTGCTGTTGATTGTTGTCGATGCATATTCAAAATGGATTGACGTGCACTTGGCCCGTTCCACGACAGCCGAGAATACCATGGAGCTGCTGCGCAAGTCATTTGCATATTTTGGAATCCCGCGAACCCTGGTCAGTGATAACGCAACATGTTTCACAGCGCCAGCGTTCGAGACGTTCTGCAAGCAGCTGGGCATGCGCCACTTGCTGACCGCACCCCTGTCGGCCAAAAGTAACGGTCTAGCGGAGCGTTGTGTGCAGACGGTGAAGCAGGGCTTGAGAAAGCAGAAACATGGCAGCATGGACACGAAAATCTGCCGGTTTCTGTTTACCTACCGTACCTCTCCTCACAGCACAACGGCGCAGACTCCAGCAGAGCTGATGATGGGCCGACGTTTGCGGACTCGTATGGATTGTTTACTACCTGACCTACAGGACCGTGTGTCAGCCGCACAGCAGCAGATGAAGGAGAGATATGACCGTCGGTCACAGGACCGTGTTCTAACCCCTGGAATGCGTGTCTGGGTGTCACAGGTCTCCGGACTGGCCGGCGTCGGACGGGGAACACGCTGGCTCCCGGGACACTGCGTGAGCCGCTCTGGATCCAAGATCACTGTTCGTCTGGAGGACGGCCGCGTGATACAGCGCCACCTAGACTTCGTGGTGCCCAGCGGTTCTAGCCGTCCGATGGAGCTGACCGATGAGCCGACGCCGTCCATGCCGCCGGGTTGGATGCAGCCGCTTCCGCCTGGGACACCGCTTTCCGAGGAGGGAAGAGGACGACTCGCCGCACCAGCGGGGAAGGATCCCGCGGCCGGGGGGCCGCCGGGGACCAGGGCCGCGTCCGCGGCGCCGCTGCCGTCGCCGCCGCCGTCTGCGGATCCAGGGACTACTCAGCCGGGGGACGCCGAGACGCCGCCGCCGTCCCCGCCGCGGCCGCCGTCTGCGGCTCAGTGTACCACTCAGCCGCAGCCTGATGATCCGCCGCGTCGCTATAACTTGAGGCCGAGGCCGATACTAAGAAAATAGGGTGGAGAGGTGTTATGTAATGGGCCGTGTGCACACCTGTGCAGACCCCTGCCTGGGCATTGGCGGTGGCCGATATGTGAGTTGCCTGCTACTGTGTGTGTGATACCTGGGTCGGCCCCTGCCGAGGTCAGGGACTGCCTGAGGGGGGACGACCCTCCTGTCGTCCCCACCACCGTGCTACAATACAGTCAGTCGGAACCGAGCGGTGGTGTGTCGATGGTGGGCCGCGAGACATAACAGGCATAGTGATAATTATTAAGATGGTAGCAATTTAAGATAATAGCATGATGAAAGGCCAGGCCCGAGCCCCGAATATACATTGGCCATTTCTTTTGATATTTTAGCAGTATATGATGAGCAAGATGGTAGTTAATTGCTATCACCTTAACAAGGTAGGTATTGCCAATAGGTATACGAAGAAGCATCAGCAGTGATAATCATGACTCGATGACTTGATCTCAAACTTGATATGAGGAAGCGTGTAGAAGCGTGGTCATGCCTGCATCGAGATGGATCAATGACTTTTCAGTCGTCAAAACGGAAAGCTCTGTGTCCTTTCCCATACCTATGGCTGTTTGTTTCCGTGATACAATAAAGGCGAAATGAAATACGGTCAAAATGAAGCTTACCGGTAAAAGCGGCTTTGGCTTATCGTTGAGTATTCAGAGTTTCATCTTTAGGCCAGTAATAGACTTTGCTCAACGATGAAGTTTGTTTTTATCACCGAAGAGTTTAATAGCCTCGGCTAAAAATAAAGTACAAATGTGCATAGTTCATCAACCGAGTCACAGTCTCGCTAGCTCAAAGTTTTTGATATCATACGTCCTGCCTAAAACCTGGCCGTCACCGGGCTCACGGCATGCCATTCAAATCAGCAGTGCTTTTTGGGCACCTGAAATGTTGAACGGGTTCCCAACTCGGCGAGGGGACCGGTGCGCTCCAAATTGTCGAGCGGCACAAAGTTCGCTCGATGACGTCCGTCGCCAGAGCACCACTCGTCACGTGCCGCTGGTGACGAGCCGGCGCGATGCCGTGCGGCCCACCCGTGTCGTAAACCGAGGCTGGCGAGGGCCGCGCCGGGCCGCGACCCGCCTGCATCAGGCCGGCCGGGGGCCAGGCACGCGCCACCGCCGAGTGAAAACGACTGTTTTGTTTCCCCGGCCGTCCGAGTGGCTTATCGCCCACTCGACAGACCGCGGCCTGCAAGATAGAGGTAATTTTGGCCCTCCCAGAAAAATGACGCCATAACTGCCCTATCAACAGTGTCGTATACAAGACGTAAACAAAGCATAAAACACCGTTATGGGAGGCTCACAAAGACTGTGCCTTTGCGGCCTCTACAGATCCACTGAAATGGTCTGATGAAGGCACAAATATGGCTAGAAACCGAACGGAAAATCGGTGCTACAACTTATCGGTGACTCAGGTAAGTTTGTCTTTATCTCTTCATCACAAGACTTTAAAACAATTGTTCTTTCTTTGCCTAGCTAGTAAACAAACAAGAGATCCATAATGCCTTAATGCTACCCATAAAAGAAAGATCTCAACTGTTCGGTTCCCCTCCACGCTTTTAGACCATCACCCGCTCCATCTGGTTCTGTTGGCCGGATGATTAATGTCTCTGCTTGGAGTGGTTATGTCCCGCCACCCAGCCTCGTACGGCCCGGACGTAGTGGCCCTGTCTGTCGGCCCCCGACGATGGCGCGGCCGCACCATTAGCCGGGCCGACCGCCTCTATCGCAGCCGCCGCGAGTGCGTAGCACAACTCAATGGAGCTGACGTCCCTTTGGCCGGGGGCGGGGCCGGGCCGTGCTGAATGGTCCGCAGAGAGGAACTATATCACGACAGGAGGACATGCGTGCTGCCCGTTATCCGACACGCTGTTTGGAGCTAGTGGTGGTCGGTGTTCAGGGTTGGCACTGGTCACGTTTCTGCACGTGGTTGCGGTCACGTTTCACGTTTCTGGGGATTAGACTTGCCAGGACTTTTTGTTAACCAAGACCAGATTTCACGTTTGGATCTTTATTTGAAGGATCTTTCATTGAAGGAAGGATTCTGAGTTCGCATGCTATTGAAGTAGCTAATTTGGCACGATAGATATCGACTTTATGTAAGAGCGGAAAACCGGTGAAATGGTACATCGCTACCGCAAATGTCAATGGTACCCGGCTTTAACCGACAGCTCAATATAGGTGCGATCTCATATTCCGGCTGATCGGCTGATTGCGCTTCGGCCACATTTAGGGCTGCTGCATCACTTTACATCAAATGAATCGAATGCAAATCGCCTCATATCGGATGATGAAAGACGAACCGAATGCGATACACGATGGTGTGGTGTCCAGGATTGTGTGCGTACAGGTTATCTGGTATAAAAGCGTAACTGATTTTACTTATAAATACAAACAACTCATTAGTCATTAGCACTTAACTAAAGCTGTCGAAGCATCCACATTTCTCAAGAACTATGTTCAGACCTAATAGTAAGGGCTTAATGATTGAGCTTCATAACAGGGCTTGATTAAAATAATGAAGATTGTAGCAGTACTTGTCGTCTGTTTGAATCGTTCATGAACAGATTCTTCTGATCAGGCAAATGGCAGCACAATACCTAATTCTTGACTACCTCGCTTTCTATCCCCAAAAACAGTTCGAAATGACACCACACAAACTGGTTTACCGTGAGCTGATATATAAAAGATCATTCTGAAATCAAGCCACCTTAAATGCATTTTTATGTTTATTTGGCAGGCAATTAGTTGACGATGTCTTTTTGCAAAGTTATTAAAATGCGAGCAATTCATCTCAATAAGTAACTTAGACTTCTGCATAAACGGCTCTCCGTAAAAAGTTTCACCTCACCATTCTTAGACGAGGCCTCGCCCGTCCATTTGGGAAGTGCATAAATTTCCGGCCTGCTGCTGAAGGAAGGCACGCCACTATGCCACCTTTGACTCAAAACTGCGGCCCAGGAGAGAGTCTCCAAGGAGTCATCGATAGCAAACTTCTCCGGCATTCCAGACGTGATACAACGAAAACCTTTTTCATAAATCTCATGCATAACACACCAGCTCAAATGTGGCCTTTGTTCAGTGCTCTTTTACTTGGCTTTGTGATGGAGTTGGTAAGTATTAAATAGGGATCCATGAGGAACAATTTGCATCGTTAAAGTTGCAAATGCAAAGTAAAGAAATAAGTAGCCACTTGACGCTCCATTACATTACGTGTTTATGCTTGTTTCCATTTATATTTTGCTTTTATGATTATGTGGCCTATTGGAGGAGCTGCCTGCACTGCCTGGTTACCTAAAAATTTATGTTGCCATTGAAAAAAGAAACAAATGGAAAGGAAAAAGTTCAATTTCCATTAGTGTCATATAGTTTTATAGGCCGTACCTACTGAATGACAATGGCTTTAATTTTAGCATTTCTTTGTGTAATCTGAGTAGCGACACTCACTGTGCAGCATTGCACCAGCAGCAGCAGCAGCAGCAGCAGCAGCACCGGACCTAGGACGTCGGTACCTGCCTGCCCAGAAGGCAGCGGCCTCGACTGTGCCACTCGCAAGCCGCGGTGTAATGAAATTCCTCGGCCCTCTCACCTGAAATTGCCCTCTGCTCTGCGGCGTGGGTGCTGGGACATGGATGCTGGGACACGAGACTGCCTTCCGTCCCAGTACTTGGCTCAGTGTGGTACGAAGAATCCGTGAATGGTGGCAGCCAGACGGATCGATAAAAACGTCAAACCACACTGCCCAAACGGGAAAGGAAAACTTCCAGTGGTGACTGCGTTCGGCTGAATGATATCAGACTCGCTTAGAATGAGCTTAAATAATGAAAAGAAATATATGAGTGATTTAAAGTTAAAAGCCCTTGGAACTTTTCAGTTTCGGAGCAAAATGCGTGTTCATAACACGCCCTGGTGTAAGGCCCCCTATTATTGCCAATTGCTCTAAGCCAATGTATTTAGAACGGTAATAGTAAAATCTGAACGATTGAATGTAGTTGATTTTGTTAAGTTTCTGTGAACTCGGACGATAGTCACCGTTCAATCTAATAGCCGTACTGCTGGTATTGAACTGCTATCCAATTAAACCTGTCAATTGCCCCTGATTGGGCAATATTTCACACAATTACCGTTCGTAGGTGCGCGTTTCAAAGTTCGCGTGCCACGTTCCATTCAATTTCACAAACTCGAACTGCTCCATAACGGCGTCCGCTGGGCTGTTCAAACACAAACACCTCCTGCGTGCGTCTCAGCGATCAGAGCTGGTAACGGCGCTCAGCCGCGGACGGGCCACGCCATAAGCGCCGCCGGTGTCCACAGCGGCCGCCGGCCATATATTGCCCGCATTGGTTTGTCCAAATCTAAATAGCCGGTGGGTCGGGGAGAGCCCGCCCGGGCCCTGCCGCCGGCCGGCCGGCCGAGCGCATATGATGAATGGCTGTCTGATTTATAGTCGGTTCACTTCGTCAGTGCAGTATACACGTCAGTCACTGACAAATGGCGACTCAGTAGGCAACTAATGCCAAATCAGAGGCCTCCGCCGCGCCGGTGCCGCTAGGAAGACAGTGATCGGGCACACCGCTCGCTATGAGGATACAGAGTGGTTTTAAAATTTGGGTGCTAAGAAAAATTCGACCAATACCAATACTTGACCAATACTAACAAAGCTACTCGCAAATATTGAAGTCGAGGAACGATGGTGCATAGTCATTTTGTACGTAATTTTTTAGCTTGTGTGAACGGCCACGATGCACTATAGCAAGATTGTTTGTTTTATTTTGCAGTGACAGCGACCGCTGTTGACATTTTGACACCTCGGACGATGTTGATTCGAAGCATGACATGTGGAAACAATGATGTTATAAGTGCCCAGGCTGCTGTTTGACACTATGGAATATGAATGTCACAATGAAGCATTAAAACGATCTATGCCGTCTTTCTTCAGTGCTGTTGTGTGCTTGATACTATCAGAAAATAGAAAGGTTCAGAAGTCTTCCAGCTATTTCTTATGATATGCTTTCTTTTTTGTGAGAAAACATTGATCTGTGGTTGCATGAATAAGTTGATGATGCTGCACAATATCAGATACACACTGAAAACAATTTAACCCAAGGCCCGCGAGTAAACCGGTGTTTTGCAG